TCTCAGTGGAGACAGCCACATGCAGACCGCCTTTGAACAAGGCGAGGGAAAAGAAGGCACTATCATTCTTGAGGACTACAAATTGCATCCACAAATGAGTCTCTTGGATACAAGGGGATTTTTTGACAGCGATGAAAAGCTCATGGAGGAATGCCTCAACATTATGTCGGGAAGGTAATTAGAGTTCTACCCCTGGGGGGTGGGGTGTTTGTTCTACTTCTACCCCTAGGGGGGCGAGGTGGTTGTCCTACAGACCCCGTTCTTATCGAGAGTGACGTATGTTACCTGAGTGAAACGTACGACTCAGTCACCCCAAATAGATTCGTACCTATGACCCTTCACACCATACCAGATAGCTTTTGCGCCGGCGCAGAAACCACACCGGATAGGGCTTCTGTTCACATATAATAAGAACGGTGATTTTGGCGTGATTTCTGTAAGCCAAGCTGGTGCCGCACAAATCTCTAAAGTGGAGAGTCACACTTTTTCTATTGAACGAGTGAATTTGATAGTCGCTCCGGGCGTTTGTATACGTAAGTTCCAACCTCGTTCGCAGGGTTCTCTCCTAGCCGTCCCTACGGAGCGAGAGAGAGAACCTGGGAACGAGATTGTGTAAGTTCATGTAAGTGAATCCAAGACAGTCTTGGATTCTGGATTGCATGCATGGATTCCGGATTCCAGGTACTGGATTCCAGTCTTTGTCAGTGGAACTTGGACTCTGGATTAGCTCCAATCGTTAGAAGGATTCCGGATCCCTTGAGTTGTATTCCGGATTCCAAAGCCCAGGATTCCGGATCTCACAAGCAAAAATTTCCTGAATTCCGAAAACCGAATTCTCTAACATGAGGCGACATTTACCATAAATAAATTTTTACATTTTTCTCAATTTAAGAATTCGTCCAGGTGAAGAGATCGAGCGAGGCTATGACGGAAGTAAAGACAAGGGTAACGTTGGTAATACTCAGAAAGGAAGAAAAGCTCCGCATCTCTCCAGATATGCCCATGCAGTGATCTTCGTAGTGAAGGCAAATGATCCGCGGTTGAAGGACGGCAAGTACAAAAACGCTCTGCAGAAAATGCGAGAGCATTTCAGGGAAGACGGTAAGACTAAATTTTTTTGCAATCGTTAACTTTGTTCACTAACACACGGTCCACAATGACCTACATATGCGCGGTAGTGGTTCGGCTTTTTGTTTTCTTCGCAAAGCGACCGAAATCAACCGTCTTTTCTCTAGGACCCTCCAACTCGATAAAAAATTCAGTGGTTAGAGCGTCCGAGCTAACACTCGGAGGGTCGTGAGTTCGATTCTCACCTGGAGCTCGGAGAATTTTTCTGAACTTTCTGGTGTTTGAATTCTCCTTCTTCTTTAATTGGATGAACAAGAATTGTCATTTCGAACGAAAACGAAGAATTTAGTGGTGTGACAGGTGCATTTCGAACCTCTTTTATGGTTGGTGGACTTTGATCCCTAGCATTTTAAGTGTTAACCCTGCGAATGCAGCCTTCTCTCCTCGCTCCTCGCTGCTAGGGACGTCTCGTGTTTCTCTCGCGTAGAGCGTGGAGGCGGCTCTACCAGTTCGCAGGCTACAATTGTGCCTTTAGGAGCTGTTTTCTCAGCACCGCCGATTGTTTGCTGTGTTCGCTGAGGGTGGAGATTTGCGCTTCTCTATTAATGTTCTGAAGGTCAAGTGTTATGTGGGTAGCTTGCCTTGCCTTCGAACAGCTCCAGATAACCGTCGAAATAAATTTGGACACCTTACACCACCCCCCCCCCCCCCCCCCCCACACCCCCCACAAAAAAA